TTTACTCCCGACAGCTTTTTCGTGCTCTCCCGTTGGAAGCTGCTATCTTTTGGTCTGAGAAAATTTTATCTCATTATATATGAATTCCTTATCCCGACCAGGGTGCTACTACTGTTGCTTTTACGTCAACACTACACACAGAAAGAAAAAGATGCCTTATCTTGTCGCACATATGGATACTGTAGTAGCATATCTATTACCAATCTATATATTTGCATCGACGGCCTATGAGTGAGGCGGGCATGGAGCGAGCATCTTATCTTAGCATAGCTTATCTATATATTGGATTATCTTCTTCATTACCTTAGTTAGATAGAGGATTAATGAGATTAATGAATAGGATTTCTGGATACGGGATGACGGGCATGATATACATAGATATAGATAAGTACGTACATAACATAAAGTATACGATACATATTAGATTTATCCTACTAGAGGGAATGGATGAGTCTAGGTGATATTAATAGACGGGTAGCTTAGCAGTAATTACAAGATGTTTTCAAGAAACGTTTTCTATAGCGAGCAAGTTCAGACAATGTCTACCTAACTAGGTAGTACTGAAGCAAAAGTTGACGTATTCGGACGATGATTAGGTGTGAAGCTTTCAACTTGTATTAACGAGCTACGGCGTTGGCAGACGAAACCGATGACTGACAAGTTTAAGACTACCTAAGTTTATACAAGAAGGTATGCTCGGGTAGGATCGCCGAGTGCAAAAAAGGGAAGGGAGCAATATATGAAGTTTGTGCTATCGGTAAGACTAACGACTTGGGTTGACGGAATGCGGACTACACTTTTCACAATGTGCGGTAGGTACATGATTCAGGCTTCTACGAATTAGTAGGTGCTCAAACCAGATGTCAATTTCGGCTGCTGCTACTTCGGTTGATCATAAGCCTGCCATGGCTGGCTCGACTCGAGAAATAGAGCCGGAGCTCGTCCATCAAACAATTTCAAATACATTGCTAGGTAGTATTTAGAGGAACAAGTACATGATTGGGGGGTTTGCTATAACTAATAACTAAACGTTGCGCAGACTACTTGCATTCTTTCTTGGTAAGCATCTATCTCAAGTAATTTTTGTATTATAGAAGTCATGTTTTTTATACTTGATATATCTAAGAGGTAGCTATGGTAGAGCAAGGTCCCAGATCGTCTTGTCTACGAGACTTTCAGACATCTATTCGTACCTAATATAAGAATCTTGCTACTTAACAGCTGGCTTAGTACCGCCTGGAGATCTCAGTTCCATGTTCATTGCCATACATAGACCAGGCTTATAGCCACATAGTCGCGATTCCCCATGCGTTAGCCAGGTAGACGACGGACAGCATCACCTTACCGTTTATCCACGTGACTCTTGGAGATCTAGAATATAAAGCTCCTCAGCCGATAACCCAGAGCTCGCGACTTAGGAACCTAGGTTTCAGAGGCCAGTGGACATCCGAAATATTTCACCCTTCAACCGTCGACGCCCTCCGCCGCAGCACACCGACGACTAGCCACCGCTTCCGTACACTAATGTCCTCTTGGCCGCGGTCCCAAACCCACTCGCGCTCAACGCCGTCGCAGTCACGCTCCCATATACTCTCGACTTCGAGCCCGGCAGCCGCAAGGGCGTCGTCTTCGAAGAAACCGCGCATCTTGGCGCGCCCCGTATGAAACCCCGCAACAACCCAGGCTCTGGCGTCCGGGGAGTCTTTGAGGAACCATGCAATGGACTTGTGCAGGTTGGTGTGCTGCCACGGCATCCACAAGCAGTCGCACACGAAGACACGGTCGAATCGACCCCGATGTTCTGCTGCGAAAGGCGTATCTAACTCACCCCATGAATGACCCTCGACTGTTAGCGGTGCAAGGGAGCTGCCGGGCGAGTTCTCAGTCTTGGCATTGGCCGCGACGTTCTTACGCAGAGTATCTAAGACAGTTTCGGATGGGTAATCTGTTACGACCACACCCTTAGCCCCGAGCAGAGCAGCCATTAGGCTAGGCAGCGCGGTACCGGCGCCGAGCTCAAGTGTCTCAAGGCTAGCGACATTGAAGGCGGCGGGCTGGAGCCGGCGCAAACCGACGTCGAGGGGTAAGCCAAGGGTGCCGGCCTCGACGAGCTCGGCAAGCAACAGACTCGCGTTCCACAGGTAGTGGCTGAAGAGTTTGCGATCGGCCTCCCGGTCCGGGTCCGCGAGGGCGATGTGCAAGGGCTTGGGTAGGTGCGGCGACGTGTAGAGCAGCGAGTGCTCCGCGTCGCCATGCTGGTTCGTCACATCATCCGGGAAGATGATGCCCAAGGAAGAACTGAGGTAGTCCTCGGGATCTGAAGATGGAGGACCATGAAGGGAGATGCGGCTCGTGAGGGCCATCCTGCTCGGCCGAGTAATTTTGAGGCTCAAGTGCAGGGGGGGGGGGGGGGGGGTGTGATTTTGTGCTGGGGTGCTAGAGAACTTTTTTTTCCCTTTTGTTCTCTGCACCCAAGCGCGTGTGATGAAAAGTTGGGCACAGAAGCGAAACCGAGAATGGTAGAGCTTTGGGTCAGTCCAGACACCCCCCGGTAGTACAAGGTTACCTCTCTGGTAAGGTTAGGTAGGTACTTACTGGGGGAGAGACGGAGCTATTCCGTTGCGAACCTTGCCGGGCGGAAAGTGACACCGTTTATGTAATGTTGTATGTACTATGGTTATATGGGTATGTTTAACGAGTGGGCCAGGTATTGCGGCCCGTGCTGCACTTATTACAATATAGCGCGACTTTATATGAATATAATTATATAAAATTTGCATTTAACTTGATAAATTTAATGCGATAAAATATTAAGATTTTAAGTTATTTAAAGATTATTTTAATATATTTTTTTATTAAAAAATTTATTGATTTAGTTAAAAAATGGTAATATTTAATATAAGTCTTTCGATGTATCTGCTTGTCCCGGACACAGCCACAGGTACCTGACCCACTCGTTAAACTTTGGCCTGTAACCATAGTATGTGTGTGTGTGCGCGCGCGCCACACCCCCGCGATATTAAAATAGAACAGAGAAAAAGCAAATGTGTACCATACCTACCTTACTAGGTAGTATGTAGGTATGCACATGTGTGCATGGATGTAAAACATAATATACGGAGAAGGGAAAATAAGAAAAAGCAACAAGATATTGGGATGTACACAACACCAATGTATGTATACAGTGTTATAGTGTTACAGTATAGAGATGACATCACATCAACCTCGCCATTACCGTACTTGTGTACGGATATAGCGTCTAGAAGAGCCCAAGGGGATGCAGAGAGATATGCGCTCATCAACGCCCATCTGCGTGGGTATATGTGCGTCTACGGCGCTGCCGGTGGCATTTATAGTCAATGTAGGTAGTGTACGAAGTATCGAAAGTGATGATGATGTTGGATTGATGGGGGCCGTCACCCGTGGTCGTGTTTCGGATTGAATTTTTACAGAGCACGATTGGGAACTTGTAGTGGAGTGGGGAAAGAGCTTATCTACCGGCTCGGTTCGAGTGACGCTTGCCTCTAAGCCTTACCCCGTTTCCTATTACTTGCGCATTTGAATCTATTCGTTAGGTTTAGGTACCTAATCCAGGTGGGTATAATACGATAGGTACCCGCTGCTAAGCAAATGTGCAGTTACGTTATGCTTTCCCAACGGCCAGCAGCCTATTGCCCTGCTGCAAATAAGCAAAGCTGCGCCCCTACACCGCTTGTAAAAAGACCCTAACCTTCCTGATTCAGGCAGCCAGTGCGGAAGGGTAGGCTAACGTTAATTACCTATGTACCTACCTAGGTATATACCCTTTTTCGCGCCAACCACAATTGTTTCCTCTTATACCCCGGCAATACACGTGGTATGCGGGAGCTGCGCCTCAGGTGCGCAAATGCACGAAACGAGCATCGAAAGCCACGGCCTAATCCGCGGAGGCCTCTATCGGGGCCGCGTTTGTGTTGTATCTGGAGGTGTCAAGTCTAAAGTTGAAGCGTACATACCTAATATATACTGATACTAACATTGACATCGGCAATGATACTTGTCAGCATGACAGCAGCCGTTCCTCGTCCAATTGCGATGATGGGGGTAGACGGCTACGGTTCGTGTGGTATTGGCTATCCGTTCATCTCGCTGCCGGTCACCATCGCTGCGACCGCAACCTTATGGGAAATGACATGCTCCGTCTCAGCTGCAAATATTCACCTATTGTACCAAACCTCCTGCGGTTTCAGGCAATAGGAGGATTCTTTTCCAATCAGATGAGCTAAACGGTCATTCACTGGATTTGGTTTATATTGCTCGCTTGGATGAGATGGGATTTGAAAAAAAAAAAAATTTTGCGTCGGGATTTGCGTGGTTAATATATTGACGTATACGTAGAAGAGGTTGGGTGATGTATACCGTAGCCAAACCGTGTAAAAGGGGAGATCCTAAGTAGCGTGTAATTATTGGCTATTGGGTTATGTCTAGTATCAATATTGATATGACGACGTATGAATCGAAGTTATACACACTCTCACGTTCACGTTCACGTTCATAGCAGTCTAAGAATATGGTCAAGATAGGTAGTGCGAAAGCGAGATGATTCTTTATTCAAGATCGAAGCCGAGTCTTTGTTCGGTCTCCGCAGCGCCGTCGTGATAGAAATAGATAGGGTATCAATACAGACCATCAAAACTACATAATATACCAAAAGATAATAGAACATTTTTTACCAGCCGCTGAGCGACTGTCGGGAAGATATACTCTTCATGAGATACCTCTGCTTCTCCCCTTTCTATAGTTGGCCAGTTATAAACCTTCTCCCCGGCCGAGAATGAAGCGGGGGGGGGGGGGGGGGGGGGGGGGGGGGGGGGGGGGGGGGGGGGGGGGGGGGGGGGGGGGGGGCGGGG